CCATAGATCCTATATCTACCTATATGAAGAAGAAATCATGTAAGAAGGGGATTCTTATTTGTACAAATGGTACTTCGAACTTGGAACGAGCATAAAGAAATTAACGACACTTCTTTATCTTTTGAGTTGTTCTGCCGGATCGGTCGCTCAAGATCTTTGGTCTCCACCCGGACCCGATGAAAAAAATTGGATCACTTCTTATGGATTCGTTGAGAATGATTCTGATCTAGTTCATGGCCTATTAGAAGGCGCTCTGGTGGGATCCTCATGAGTCACGATAATTTTTTTTTTTTGAATGTTGTAACTCCCTCACATTGTCAAGCTAGCATATCATATCATATATTAGAAAGGAAAAACATGTTGTATCTCTTGGTCTCAATAAAAATCCCTAAAAATTATTGAATTTTAGTAGGTTATCTAGTATTGAAGTTATTATGATCTCAAAGAGATCGAAATATGGTTTGGACGCGGTTAGAAATATGGTTTGGACGCGGTTAGAATGCGGCCATTCCCGCATATGTAGAACTGCAGCCCCTTAATAAATTTATATTTGAAATAAAATTCTATTTTAATTTTTAGAGAATATATAATCTTTAACATGAATATCATGAATATAAATAAATATATAAATTTTAAAAATTAAAAATAACAATCCTACTAAAAAAGCAATGGTTCACTTGTTTTAGATGGACCACCTATTTGCATCCACATTTATATGGCGTACTGTACATATGCAATCCAGTCCTCATGAAACAATTGTTCATATAATTTTCACCAAACATATACAATCCAGTCCTCATGAAACAATTGTTCATATAATTTTCACCAAATGACAAAGTAATTGTGAAATGTTAATGGGTGCGGTTTGTATAGAGCCGAGGCTCTAAACATTCAAACTAAAACGCCCTTTCAAATAATGTCGAGAAATGCGGTTTTAATATTGAAAATTATTGTGAAAGCTTTACGATATACTTTTTATATTTAATTATAAAATTTAAAGCTTAAAAATCATGAATATTGACTGCCAAAAAAATACCTTACAAGTTGCACTATTTTCAAAACTTGAAATCCATTTCTTTCTTATCTCTGTGTATCTTGATGTCAAAATGATCAATTTGAGAAGATTTGAGCATCAAAACAACCTCTTCTAGTGAAATTTTTGAAGTGGGCTCTAATTTGATTGTTTAGGGCCTCGGCTCTATATAAACTATTTCCAAAGTTAATAATGCACCTCAATATTCATATGCAGACCATCTCTCTCTCATTCATAAATGGAACAATTGGTACTCTCTCACTCAAGACATAACAGTAAGATCAATCATGATAATATTATATGTAATTTGGAAACCAAAGGGTTCTTAATTCTCATATTAATCATCAAGCTGGAACAACAAAAATAAGAACCTTACATAAATCCTCATTAACCAACAACATAAGTAAGACACTCCTCATATCGAAACCATCATGTCTTCCAAGCCTTCAAAACAGTAGCTTTGAAAACCCTAGACTTTATTCATCTCAAACCTAAATACCTACTTTCTCCTCAGAACCTCTTTCCTTCAGTGGATCCTGCAAACAAAAGCCAGAGAGAGAAAAATAATTTTCTTTTTTTTATTTTAATAATTGGTAACATACCCAATTATCAATGAGATTATTTCAATAAGTAGGAATTTATTTGTGAAGTTGCTGATATAAATAGTGACCTACCAAACTGATACACTATTTAGCCACTCAAAAGAGGTTATGCAATTGTGGGCCTAAAAAAAAAGGGCCTTACGTGTGTGTTTACACATGGAAGCATGTTTCCCAAATCATGTCCCGGATAATTACATGTATAAACATGCATGGTAAACATGCATGTGTACATCATGTATGACACATGGATAAAGAGCACACAAAATTTAGTCCAACCACACATAAATCCACTAGAAATAATATACATCACATGATTATAGATGCAAAGACATGCATAATGTACACCCACATGCATACATAAAGTCACATATATACAAATATATATGTACCCTTAATACATATACCCATGTCGATAGACCAAAGTTGTGTTATAAGGATCAGACGACAATGCAACTATTGAAGGTCAGATCGGCCAAGCCATCTTTCGGAAAATACATATATATAAATGTTAGTAAATTAATTGAAGAAAAAGTTTAGATAAGGTTGCAACCTTAAAATGTAGAACGGTAGATGCACCTCAAAAATCCTTCAGAAAAGGATGTTTTAATTTTGAAAAGCCCTCTAATTGACCACCTCGATAATAAGAAGTATGAATATAAAAAAAAAGAGAAAAAAAAGATTTTGAGTCCAAAAAATAGTACATATTGCAACACATTATTTAAAGAGTCTATTTTCAAGATTTTCAAATCTATTTAAAGAGTCTATTTTCAAGATTTTCAAATCTTCATAGATCAACTTGATTTTAACCATTTTGGAGTTTAAAATTTTATAATTAAATAAGAAAATCGATTTTGAGATGATCCTAAGAATATCCACAAAAATTACATGTTATGATATAATTTGGAGTGCGCCTTAATTGCGCTGTTTTAGGTTGCGACCCTATAAAAACCACACTCTTAATTGAAAAGTCAAATAAAGAAAGTGATTCAATTAAAAAGTCAAATAAAGAAAAATAATCATTTATAAAAAGAAAAAGTTTGTATAGAGCCAAGGCTCTAAACAGTCAAATTAGAGCCCACCTCAAAAATTCCACTAAAAGAATTCGTTTCGATGCCCAAATATCCTCAAATTGAACACCTCGACATCAATATGCACAGACAAGAGAAAAAAATAGATTTCAAATTTTGGAAATAATACATCTTGTAATGCATTTTTGGACCGTCAAATTTCAAGATTTTCAAGTTTTTATAGATCTACTCGATCTACATTATTTTTAAAGCTTTAAATTTTATAATTAAAGATAAAAATATTTTTTAATACTATCACAATGATTTTCATTATTGAGACCATATTTCTCAGACACTATTTGAAGGTGTGCTCTACTTTGATTGTTTGGAGCCACAGCTCCCATTATAAAAGGATGGGTTTCTATAAGTCAGCCCTACTTATATGTACATGCGCATCCCCCATTCAAAGTCCACATTAACGATAGATTTTTTTATCAAAATTCTGCTAACACAAAAAAAAACTTTTCCTTTATAAAAAGGGATTACAGATGGATTTTTTATCCAAATTCTGTTGACTCATAGAAAACTTTTCTATTCACTTTTATTACAAGAGCTTTCACTCGCTTTTAGCTATTGAATGAAAAATGCAAATTGAAGTGTCACAACATTTAATAAACTTTATTTTGAACTTTATGCCTAGTAAAGGGGACATCCCCATCCACCCAATCTAACATCCAATAATTAATATCTCATTGTACGAAAAATAAAATAATTTTTTATTATATAATTTCATCTCCAAAACAAGATGAAAAAAAAATTTAAAAACAATGTCAGGTGACAAGAGATGGAGCATAGAAAGGAAGTAGGACTTGAGAGAGTGCCAAGATTTTCAAATTAAGAATTATGATTTTAGAAAGAGAGTAGGTGGGTGGGATGAAATGTGAACAGAAAAAAATGATTTGTAAAACAATAAAAAAATCCAATTTATGGGTTAGAAAAGGGCCCGTAGAACCAACTAAAGCACACCAGGCCGATCGGTCAAAAATCGAGTTTGCTTGATTTTATGATATTTATATTCAGGTAACCCAGTCAGGTTGGCCAAGAACACAGTTCCTACTTTGATCACAACACCGAGCCAGTCCAGTCCGATCCTGAGAATACTTATACAACAGATGTATAAAACACAGATAAATATATACATACGTACATACAAACATGTGCATCTATACATGCACGGTTAGGCAGATGAAGTGGGGGAGATGGTCTTACGTGTTGCAGTTAGTGCCTACGGAGATGCTGAAGCCAACATTCACACCACATTTCCCTGCAACTTGCCTCACAAACGTATCTTTAATCCCTGGGAATTGGTTATATGCACCTTTGAGGCAAAAGCATATGCCTTTCCTTGCACCAGGGGTGTTTGCTGCCCGTGCAATGGTTTTGAGGCCATTGCAACAGGAGGGCGCAGGGTATGAGGCGCTGCCTGAGAGGTAAGGGAGGCAGGAGGCAGCACTGGTTTCCACCTGAGGGCAGGTTATTGCATCAATGGTTTTAGAGAGAGAAAGGAGGAGGCCCAAGGAGAGGAGGAGGTAAAGGAGCTTCATGGCTTTAGAGGAATGGAGGGATGTTGTGAGGGAGAGAGGTGTTTGGGGTGAGGAAATAGTGGGGGGGAGATGGGGTTTATATAGAGATTTTTTTCGAGAGAGAAAGAGGGGGAGTGATTTTCAATGGTTATCTGGAGTGATTCTTGGGGTTCAAAAAGATTGATTTCCCGAGGTGGGGTGGTTGTTTTTGATAATAGAGGTTGTAGGGAGCAGTCTAGAGATTGGAGAGTGTTTTAACACTTTCCCTCCCTTCTTTTTTTATTTTTTATTTTTATTTTTTTTTACCCCGCTCAAAAAGTAAATTCAAATAAAGAAATCTAAATTTTTAGAAATTGATCATTCAATTAATTTCAAATAAATTGTATCTTGTTTAGGCCAATCAATAACGCTAGGGTTATAGTTGAAGCAGCCAGTAAACAATCGAAATAACTGGTTATAGTAAACAATCGAAATAACTGGTTATAATAGGCATGAAGGAGTTAAATGAGATATGTTATTTAATTATACATTATCATTATACATAATATCCTCCCTTTAGTAATGTCCACCGCGCCTATCATCGCGTCTTCTGAATGCACTCACGGTTTGACACTTTACCCATGCGGTTCAACACATATTCTTTGCGATCTAACAATATGTTTTCACGCCCGTCATCGTGTCTTCTGAATGCACTCACGGTTTGAACCTTTACCCATGCGGTTCAGCACATATTCTTTGCGATCTAAGAATATGTCTTCTGGGTGCACTCAACGATCCGATATTTTTTCTATTATGTAATCTAGATGTTTTTCTCGATATGGAAATGTATCGTCTTCGTATAAAGATGAGGGTATTTTCATAAAATTTTTTGACTTGAGAAATATTTGCTATAATAGTTAAGTTCATGATAAAAAATGCATTAGAAAAGTGGTTGGGGGATTTTAGTAATTTTTTATTAAAAAAATAAACGAAGAGGGAAAAAAGGAACTACAAGAATAACTAAAGAGAGAAATGGGTTGCTTAGACTAGGAAGATGGGGTGTAATGAAGATGGTATTTACCGGTTTACAGTGGTCTCCACCGACTTTTACAATATCGTTGCATGCATTTATTTCCTTTTAACTTTTAGAGAGAGGGAGGGAGAAGACGTGGTGCGATTTCACACATTGATGTGGGAAATTGGAATGTGGATTTGCATTTACTTCTGATAGAGAGAGATTGCAGAAGTTGGTTTGGAATGTGGGTTTGCATTTATTTCGCTTTATGACCCTTAAGACAAGAATTCAATTAGTTCTGGAAAAGATTCTAATGATGATGACTTTTTATTTTTTTATAAAAACAGAGTTCAAACGAAAATCAGAGTGAGAGCGTTGGATATAGTGATTGAGAGATTGAGAAGTGGCGATTTGTTAAGCTACTGCAGTGTGTTTCCATGGGAGCACAAAATATACTTACTCCTTATGAGCGAAAGGCGAGGAGAATTCTTGTATGTGCATTTGAGAATTTAGGATGAAATTTAGAATTCAATCCAGATTCGCTGTTTATACAAAACGAGAGTTGAATTTTTGAATTCGTTAAGTTTTAAGAAAAATTCAACTCGTGGGTCTCACGCAAATCCTTTGACGAGGTGAGTTACTTTGACTCATTCGAGTCCAGCATAGGGCCAAAAGGCCTTTAAAAGATTTTAAAATAAAATTTTTAAAATTTGTAAAAAATAACATATGCATTTAAAGTAAATTATGTTTAAGGCAACTTCAAAAAGTTAAAACGAAGTATAAAAAAAGTATAGAAAGATAAATTTAAAAAAGTTAGGATAATTTTTAAAAGAGTAATGATATTATGAGATTTTTTCATATCCATATGAACGGAATTCCAAAAGATCATCATTAAATTTTAACACGGATATCTAAAAAAGTTATCAATAAACTCATTCACTTGAGTCCCACATATATATGATAACTTTTCTAGAGATCAGTGTTAAAATTTAATTGTAATCTTCTAGAGTCCTACTCACATGGGTGTGGAAGGGTCTCATATTATCTTTACTCTTTTTAAAAGGCAAAAAAGAAAAATACAAAATAATAATTATAGCAGAAAAACACTCACCAATCTTTATCAAATACATGATTTACAATTTAAGACAACATTAAAACAAGTATAAAAAAAGAGAGCATAGCACTCATATATTCCCAAACTCAAAATTTAAGAGGTTTTTAAGCCAGAGACTCAAAAACTTCTTGAGTGTAAACTTTGAAAGGATATGAGGTCGTACATTCGTTCTTATTTATAAATATATTTAAGACAGATCTAAAACTCAAGTCATCATATTATAGCATCCTTTTAAAGATCAGATGCTCTGGCTCGAATACCAAATATGGCATCCTTTTAAAGATCAGATGCTCTGGCTCGAATACCAAATATTTTGTGCTTCATTATTTGAAACTTAGGCATTTTACAGAGAAATTTTAATTGAATTAGATGAGTGTCGGTTTGAAAAGTGGAGGGCTTGCATTGAAGTGGAGTTGTATTGTACGAGAGCCTCAACTACCCAGGAAAGGAACCCTGTATGTCTGTAAAGTCGGTGCTCCCCATAATTAATTTGAGGAAGAAGAAGAATAAACTGTGCCCAAAATTATTAAAAAAAGTGAAACTTTATGGAGATTTCAATAGGAAAACCAGTGTGCTTTAAAACAGAGGTGGGGCAATTGTTCACCTACATATCTGTTTCAGATCGTTGAATCCGTTGCAATCTAGACAAGGTGGCAATCTGAATTATATCCCGATCGGTCCCCATCGATGATGCAAAAAAATATTAAAACAAATCAAATAAAATTAAAATTAAAATTAAAATTGAGATTTATGGGTTAGGGATTTAAATGGATCTAAAAAAATATTACATAAGCTTGAAACAAAAAAAGAAAAGAAAAGATGGGGACTTTTTGTTTGGGGGGTTAGAGGAGGGGAGGGGCCCAGGACGAAACCCATACCATCCCGACATTAGTTTGGTCCTAACCAATTTCCATCCAATTGATTGTCTGGATTGGAAATCGCCGAGTTTTAAAATACTGGGGAAAACTATCCATGGCATAACAAAAGTCCATAGCCATTGGATAATTATGCAACATTGAGATGTGAGTAGATATTTAAACTTAATTACTAAAGTACCTTTATTTGGCAAGGTTGGATAGGATAGTTGAAAAAATATAGGATTGTATATTATAAAACCATTCGCTTTTGGTACAAAGAAGTCATAATCACTCTTAACCCTGATTTTACATATAACGGTCAATAATGTGTGTAACTTCCTAATGCCAAAAGTAAATCATCTTGCATTTTTGAGAGGAAAAGTGTTTGATGAGTCCGCCAACTCACACTATTTTTATGTGGTCTCTCTACTAAATATATCTCAAAGATATATTTTCGATCCAAAATTTTAGGGTCTGAGAATCTCAATCACGACAATGATCTAAATTTTGAATTTTTCTTTCTCAAAAAATATAAATATTATTTTTTGAATTCCTTTATTCACCGTCCATTTTAACTTTTAGTGGATGAAACATTTTTTGACATCCATCTTAGAGATGGATGTTAGATAGATCAGGGACCGCACATTAATAGGTGAGTCGGCTGACTCACCAAAACCACGTCCTTTTCAGATAATGTTGTAAAAGCCAAATTGGCTTATAATGTACTCTAAGCCACCTTGAAAGTAGGGGTAGGACTATTAAATTTAAAAATTTTGAAAAATTGAATTCACATGGATGGGGTAAAATCAATCAATATCTGGTGAGTACCAAGTTATCCATTCGGTAGATGGTAGATTTAGGATTCAAGAAGTGAAAATATTTTCTTAGAATAATTTATTTTTTAAATAAAAGATGTGTAAAATTTCATCCCAAACAATATTCTACCTGTGCCCATTGGTTCTCAACTTATATTGTAGCTAGAAGGGTGTGGTTTTGTATGGAGGCAAGACTCTAAACGATCAAAGTAAAGTGCACATTCAAACAGTGTCAAGAAATATGGTTTCAATACTGAAAATCTTTGTGATAGCCTTAAAATATATTTTTATTTTTCATTATAAAATTTAAAACGTTAAAAATTGTGTAGATTGAGCAGATCTATGAAAACTTGAAAATCTTGAAAATTGACGGTCTAAAAATGTGTTACAAAATACACTATTTCCAAAACTTGAAGTCCATTTGTTTCTCACGTCCATGCATCTTGATGTCGAGATATCAATTTGAGGATATTTGAGCATCAATACAATTTCTTCGAATGAATTTTTTGAGGTGGCTCTAATTTGATTGTTTAGAGCCTCGGCTCTATATAAACTTTTTCCTAGAAACCTATTAGCTCATACAATAAATTTCAAGGTTCCAGACATGAAAAAAAAAAGTTCATAAGAATTAGTTCCTTATTTTAAAGGTGGCAACGGGCCAAATCCAGCTGCCCTGGCCCGACCCTACTATGGGATAAATAGCTGAACCTGACCCTGCAAATGAGGATGGACCTGACCGGACCAGGCTAGTACATCTCAAACTTTCTTTAATCCATATAAAAAAGGAAAATATGGGTGGCGAAATGTTGGTTCGAGCATGACCCTAGCCCATGACCTGCCCCAGTCGGACCAGAATTGGGCCTAGATTTTTGGCCTCGGACCTGTCCTCAAGCCAACACTGCCCATAGCCACCCTTACCATTTTAAAATACTCAATTTTCTTCAATAGGACAATTTATGCCTCAGCTTAACAAGTCAGTATGAGGAAATATATTAGAAAAAGGAAAGAAAAAAAAGAAAGAAAAAAGAATGGCATGAGTTAGAATCCAGATCTATAATGTACCATTATAATGGTGAATGGTGTGTTCCCACTTGAAAATAAATGTCATTTTTCTGCATATTGTAGAACATTATTTTTTGGGTATAAAATCTCAATTTTGTCAAGGCAAACTGTAATACATGCCACAACACATATATGTCTTGGAAAATTGTTTCATGCAGGCTGGACCGTATTTTTATATATGCAGTCCAAAAAGTGTAAAGCATCCATTTTAAAGATGGATGCAAGTATGTGTTCTATCTAAAAATAA